AGCCTGTCTCTGAGGAATTTGGATATGCCATTACTACTGATGGGAAGAGCCACAAAGGAGTTCAATTTTCCAACTGGATTGAAACCACACAGATCGAAGAATGGAATAGCAAATGTGATATTTGTCCCGTCGTGATGTTGTTTGTCATGTTGTTTGTTCGGGCGATGATTCGTTTTATGCACGTGCCAGCAGAGATGTGAAGTGCACAAGCATAGGTACGATTGAGCTGTGCTATATCTGCGCGCGTTTTTCCAAAATAAATTACAGAGACAAAAGAACATATGGATATATACGTATTGAATAAAATATTCAACGTGCGATTTTATGCCCAAACGACAAACTCAGAGTATACCGATTTCCCCTCCCCCAAGGAGAGCTGGTTTTCAAGCGACTCACTCTGGTCTGGCAATCCCACCTGCGAAACCGCGAACGCGGTCTGCCCATGTCACCGTTGGTCTGGTCATTTTGGTCATATTCGCGCCGTCCGTACGTTGTCCGCCGGCTCCAAAAATACTACAATTCGCTCCTGGGACGGCCGGGAAAATCAATATTTACTCCCAAGAATTGTATGCTAAATTTCTATTTCCCGGCCGTTCCTGAGATGTCGGGCAAGTCAAGGAGGGATCTTCCACGGGTGGTACTGGCGTGATGCCCATTACCATGTCGCGGAAGCGTGCGTACAAGCTGCCTTGTTGTGGCTTGGAGAAGAAATCTGCCAGCATGTCCTTGGTGGGACAATAGAGCAGGACCCCCCGCAACTCGTCTATCGACCGACCGTTTCCGGATTTCACATCTCCGACTTCTTTGACTACTAAATAGTTTTTCAATACACCCCTGGGCCGGGGCATTGTTGTAGCAAAACATTGTTTTTGATCGGTTTCATGTCGCAGTGACGTGTTTCGATTTCTTTGATCGGTTTCAAAATCGTTTGATTGGTTTCGTGTCGCAGTGACTTGTTTCGATTTCTTTGATTGGTTTCAAAATCATTTGATCGGTTTTGTGTCGCAGTGACTTGTTTCGATTTCTTTGATCGGTTTCACTTGATCTGTTTTGATTTCTTTGATCGGTTTCGAATTTTGTGACATCATTTTTAATTAAAAACTGTGACGTACGATAGCCACATCATACTCGGATGGAGCCTTACGAGTCTCCGTGTTAGAACAAAGCAAAATGTGCTCTATCGTGAGTGCTTTTAGCGCTCAGAACAAACTCTCTGCAATCTAAATTCGTAATCGACTGTACAACACTTTCACGACAATAGTTCTCCTGTGTCTAGG